ACACAGGTACGTTTCCATTCTCAATTTTCTTTTAAATCTTAAAAAAAAATGTATTTTAAGAATAAGTTTCATGTTCTTTGGTCATCTGGGGGAGGCATTTCTTTTGTTTCTATTTTTCCCTTTCTTAGAATTAAAAATTCAGGATATTTAGTACAACCAGGGGCCTGTCCTTCAATATTTCTCTCTTTTTTAATTAAAATATGTGTATCTAGAGGGAAGATTAGTCAATTTCATTGACTGTGATGATTTTGAGAGTTTCCTTTGAAAAATTTCTTTTTGTTTGTTTTTCTTAAAAAAATTGAAGGGGTGGTAAATAAAGATTATTTTCCTTGGTGAGATTGGAGGCTCTGTCTTTAAGACTGATCTCTCTTTCTTTTAGTTCCTTTTTTCAGTTTCTGTTTTTCAATTCATTTGTGGGAAGGTAGTAGGCTCATTAGATTGAGCTTGGGGGGATGAGATGGTCTCTTTCTTTTACTTCTTTTTAAAAATTGAGACATCATTTACATACCATAAAATTCACATTTTAATATGTACAATTCTGTGGGTTTTAGTGTATTCACAAGGTTGTGCAGCCATCATAACTCTAACTCTAGAGCATTTTTTATCTCCTCCAAAAGAAGCTCTGTACTCTTAGTCATTATTCCCACTCCCCCCTCCCATATTCCTCTAGTCCCTGGCAACTACTCATCTCTTTTCCATCTCTAAGGACTTGTCTATTCTGGACATTTTATGTAATTGGGAGTAATAATGTTAGGGAGCTTTGGTGAGATTAGTGGATCACCCCTTTGGAAGATTTATTTTTGCCCCCATAATTTTCACAAGGGATTGGGCATGGGCCATGGAGTGCAAATAAATTTTATAAATTTTGTGAACTTGTTAAGGTTTAAAATACTGTTTAATTTAAGATGATTTCTCTTTCTTTTCATTTTTAAAATTTTCTTTGGAGGATATAAGCTTCATGGGCTTTGATGAGGATGAGAAGAACCTCCCTTTAGAAATTTTTGTCTATTTTTTTCTTAAAATAATTTTCAGAGGAGGGATAAGTTTTATTATCTGGGGTCACTGTTCATTTCTTTTTAAAAATTCATAATTTTTTTTTTCTATTTTGAGAAGGATGTCTGTTTGTTTTGGTTAAGGCAAGGCATTTTACTTTAGAATGGCTGCTTGCTTTCTTTTTTAACCCTTAAAATTATTTTTTTTTCCACTGAAAGAATTATAGTCAGCGGGCATTGGAAAGGTTGGGCAATGCTATCCTTAGTAGGATTTCTATTTATTTCCTTTCCCCAAAAAAACCCTAAAACAAAAAATGGTCTTCATGAGTAATCAATTCAGGGTCTCTGCCTCTTCTTTTTCCTTCTCAGGCTCCTCTTCTATGCTGGCCCCCTCTGGGAGCGCCAGAAGTAGAGCAGCAATCACTGCTTTGGAAAAAAATATCAGAGCTGATTAAATGTCAGCTAAAAGACTATTCTTAGACAAATGAGGATCCTATGTGTCACAGAGAGCCATATGTTGGATATTGTTCAAAAATCAACAATAGATAATTTAATCATCACAGCCTCTTAGCTGTCATGTTTCATTTTTGCCCTTCTTCACTCTGCTGCCTTGTTCAGGGAAATAAAAGGGTTAATAATGCAGAGGAAACCATTCTGTAAAATGTAAAGTGCTATAGGAGCAGAAGGGATTATATAAGTTTCAAGCTTCAGCAAGTGTTTATTGAGCAAAACATGGAGGGCTGCATTGTACTGGGCACTGAGAAAGATGGCTCTTTTATTGAGAAGCTCAGAAATAGGTAAGATAATAAAATATTCAAGCAAAAATTGCCAGACATCATCAACAAATGCTTGCTATTTTGCAAGAAGATACGTGCAAGAAATGTCAGTTTTGTGTGCAAAACTGTTCTGTCATGATTTGGGGATAATGGTAATTACTGTATAGTCATCAGGAGGGATACACAGACCCCTTTAACTCCCTCACAAACAAAAGAAACAAAAGTATATTTCTCCCAAGATGTTCATCAATCATTCATATGGTGTGATTATAATTTCACAGCTAGTCAAAACTCAATGAATAAAATATATACTGTCTGTCTTTCTTCAAGCACAACTGAGAGGAGAGAAACAAATATAGTCTATTTCATATAAGCCCCACTCCCCCCAAGAGAGTTATAGCATTGTTAAAGAATCAATTCACACATTCTTACTTACACTTGCTGCCACCAGGTGGGAGACCATGGCTCATTTCCTGGGAATCAAAACATTTTAGAAAGGAAGGAAATAGACAGGTTTGATTCACAGACTGTGCTATCCTGGTAGCTACTTGGAAAGGAAACATGATCCCCCTTTTCTCGGTCTCTACCGTCATGCTTGGCATAGAATTTGCAACCAGCAGGTTCTGAAACTTTACTGAAAACCCAAAAAAGAACAGGTACAGACTGGTAGATGTTGCCTTTTTACTGCAATACCAGTCAGCAAAATTATCTGGGAGAAACTTGCAGTCACATTCAAACACTTGGTTTTGCTTATTTCATCTTCTGAATTATCAGGCTAGTTTCATCCTTGCCATGTAGGATTTCATTGTGTGATGAAATCTATATTTTGTTTTGTTCCCTGAGATTTTGTATATGAGGGTGTGTGCATGTGTGTGTCTGTGTGTGTGTGTTGTGTTGTGTTGCATGGTTGTTTTTTCCCAAGCTTGCCTAAAGGGGGCCGTGTTTGACAACAATGCCACCGCAGCTAAGATGGTAACCTGTTTGCCTTGAATGTTAAGATGCAAGCCAGCTGGTTGTAAGTGCTATTTGGCTGGGTAGAGTTCAGCAGAGAATGATTCTGTCATTGAAGATCAGATGTTCCCAACTGCACCAGAGGGCATACTGATATTGAGGGTGTTGTAAGAGGGACTGGATCTCAGCAATTTGAGCATTGACCCAGTTCCTTAGTATTCTTCAAAATCCTCCAGAGACACTGATTAGTTAATCTACATGGCCTTGTTGATGGATGGTCAGAGTTCTTAACCCCATCCTACAGATAAGTGATTCAACAAATGTCTGGATCTACCAAAGGCAAAATCAAATCCCTGGGGTCCTGGTCCCTGCCAGTGCTGCCAATAGTCTGAGTGGGCACTATGTAGAAGAAGCTAACCTGGTTCCCCTTAGCTTGTCCTCCTCATCTGTCTGGCAACAGACATTTTCCTGTCAAATTAGTAGGAGATACTTTCCCACTGGGGGATGCTTTTCATGCATGAGTTGGGCCCCCAGTCAGCCTTCCAGAGGCCAAAGAGGAGATGTCTTCACTGGCCTTCCTAGTAATTACACTCCCACGTGTCAGTTTCTGAGCCACATTCTGGAAATTTCACCTAAGATGGCCACAGGTCAAGTGATTCTGGCTAGTCTCCTTCCCACCTGCTTAATGCAAACTCCTCCAAAAAGACAATGGTAAACACTGGGTTAGGCCCCTCCCTTCCCCTTCTGGAGATCACTACAGGGAAGTTTTTATATATATAAATTTGTCTGGGTCCCCTACTGTCCTATTTTATTTATTTATTTATTTTTAAAGCTCTGCACTTTTCCTCTGTGAACCTTTTTGCTTTAGCCTTCCTCTTTTTCAGTCGTTTATCACTGCAGATATTGTGCGGACTCAAGCCTCTCTCCTCGGAAGTCAGGAAGCAACAAGCGCTTCCATTTCGTTATGCCCATTTCTGCACACACACCCCCATCCTCATTCTACAAGTGTGCGGTCCACAACAGAAGGTTCCTGAGCCATGTCCCTACGTTCTACCAGGCGGCAGGAGGGACGGACATTGTTGGTGTGTTGTGTTATTCGTTTGTTTCTGTGTATGTATGTGTGTGCCTGTGTGTGTCTGTGTGTATTTTCCTTCAAGGAAAGCTAAATCGAGGTGTACGAATGCATTATCATGATTTTCACAGTTTCGTGGAACGAAGTTTGGGGAAAGGAAGAGTAGGGGAAACACAGAGAAAGCAGGAAAGACAGACAGACTCCCGCTGACGAGCAGATGGGCTTTCATGGGTCCAAGGCAAACACGGAAAACCTTCTTCCTCCCTCCTTCCCTTTGGATGAGTGCTGGAGGAATCTTCACTCATCTTTTACCCGCCATGTGCATCGGTTTAGAAGGCTTCGCTGTAGACTGGTAGAAAGGAGGGTTCCCATTCACACGCTCTCAAATTACCAACTCCTATTTGTGTGTCTCTAAACCAAGACTCCTCTATTATTCCAACTGGCCCTGATGCAAGATACCAGTTGTCGGTTTGAGACACTGCGCAGCATTATATCACTGTTTGCACCTACCTGCTGGGAAATCCTACAGACAAATGGAATGGTGGCTTCAACACACACATGCTCTCCCCCTCCTCCCGGGCAAACCCTGTCCTTCTCCTGCAGTACCTGGGGGCACCGCCTATCCCCTCATTTCTACAGGGAGTAGCAGCGCCCAGGATCCAGCAGAGGCGCCTGGCACCTCTCCAAGCGCCGCCAGTTGCGCCCCAGCTGAGGCGTCCTCTCCCCAGTGGCAGGGAGTGGGGCAAACAGGCGGCAACTCTGCAGCTTGGGTCTCTGCAGCAGTGACCAGACTAAGAGGTGTGTCCCACCGCTCCCACTCAATCTAGTCCGCAGTGTACTGGGGCCAGGCCTAAAACACTTTTCCAGATCTCTTGAACTCCCTCGAGGGTACCTTCCTCGTCTTTTCCAAGATATTGGTGCTCACTGCACTGTCGCTTCTCCAGGTGGGGAAAACTGCTATAATTCTCACCCTCTGCTGTCACCCGGTTTCTAGCCCCAAACAGCCCACTCTCACTTCCCATATGTTGCTTCCCGCCTCCCAACTGCTTCCCACTACCCTGGTCTCCCCAATCTCTATGTCTTTCCTAGCATCTTGGCCAGCCAGTGGCAGCCAAATGGGATGCAAGGGGGTACCCTGAGTCCTGCAAGCTCCATAGCCATCCAACCTTGCCTTGTTTCTTTCCCTGCTCCTGGGGGTCTTTTTCTTACCTTTATTCTGGACCACGACATTGACGATCGGAGTGATGGAGATAACTGGGTCTTTAGACCCTTCTCTCGAGTGTCCACCGGACACGGCAATAGACATGGTGCTGGACTCGGCTTCGGACTGGACTCTGGAGCTGCCTCAGGGCAGGACTCTAGGGCCGGTTCTGTGGCTGGTTCTGGGGTCAGCCCTGGGGTCGACTCTGGGCTGCTTCTGGAGTCGGTTCTGTGTGTAGTTCTAGTTCTGGTTCTGAGGTCACCTCCAGAGAAGATCCTGGAGCAGGCTCTGGACAGGGCTCTGGTACCGGTTCTGGGGAAGGCCGGAGGAGCGGCGGCGGAGCCAGCGGCGGCGGCGGCCACGGCGGCGGCGCCTCCGGAGACTCCGCGGGCTGCTCTCCATCCTGAGCCCGGACAGTGCCCTGGGCAGCAGCAGCTCCGCGGTCCATGGCCGCACACCGCCTCAGGTCTGAGTAGTCAGCGCCCCAGAGCTTGGGGGACTAAAGTACCCTCGGGTAGCCCGCCCCCTCCAGTCTGACAACCCCTTGCAGGGTGCCAAACTTTCCCCAGCGGTACTCCATGGCTGGATCCGCTCTGAGGTCTGACTGGGGGTGCTCGGCGTCTCGCTTTGCTGGAACACGCCCCTCGGTGAGCGCACACCTCTTCGTAAGCAGCCACGCGTCCGATGGGCCGCAAGCAGAGGGGCTTGAGAATGCGGACTGGGCAGAGCGCTTGATGACCTTCTAGCTCCGAGGAGAAGAGGAGGGGGGGCGACAAAAAAGGGAGGGGTATTGGAGTTACGTTGGGGGGGGGCAGTTGGAACCTAGCCGCGTTTAACCCTTTAGTGATGCAAATGGAAAAAGAAAAAAAAAACAGAGGCGAAGTTGAGGGTCTTTGCAATCCCCCTAACCACTCAGCCCTGAGCTGCTGCTCTCAACAGCTTCCATCCTGTGTCTACTCTCTCACCCCAGCAGCAAGTGAGCCTAGCCTTGGACCAATCTCTTGCCCCCCACCTCCAAGCCTCAGTGGGCAAGTAATCCTTTTTATCTAACCTGGAAAAAGAATTTAAGCGGCATGGGGCTGGGGTGTGTGTGTGGAGGAGGGGGTAGCTGGTGACGGTGGCGGAGGGATTCAGCCTCCTTTGGATTGCAGTAAAATTTGTCCCCTCCTCGGGTTTTGCGTTTTTGAGCTTTACCAGATCCAAGTAATTTGCTGTTGAGTACAGACTTTGGGATGCTTCAGGAAAGGAGTGTGATGAGGGAGGGTTGGAGCCCTGGTTTTCTGCAGACTGCAGATGTAGCCCGGAGAGCAAGGCAAGTGCCCCCGCAGCAGCAACTGGGCTGCCAGTTCAGGAGGGAGCAGAGGCTACCTTGGTCTCCGCAGCTATCTGGGCGTCTGGCTGGCTCGCCTTTGCCATCGGAGATTGCCCTGTGCTTTTAGCTGGATTTTCCAAGCGTTGGCAGGAGGTTTTCTTTTTCTTTCTTTCTTTCTTTCTTTCTTTCTTTCTTTCTTTCTTTCTTTCTTTCTTTCTTTCTTTCTTTCTTTCTTTCTTTCTTTCTTTCTCTGCTCTCTTTCTCTCGGCTCTGTTCTTTCGCTTTCTGTTTTTCCTTTCTTTCTTGTTCGTTTCTCTCTCTTCTCTTCTTGTTCGCTTCGGTTTCGTGTCTTTCGTTCTGTCCGGTTTGCTGCTCTGTCTTTCCTTTGTGTCTCTTTGCCGTCTCCTGTCTCGTTCGCTCTCTTTCGTTTCTTTCTTTCTTCTTCTTCTCTCTCTCCCTCCGTTCTCTTTGCTTCTTTTCTTTCTCTCTCTCTTCTCTCTCTTTCTTTCTTTCTTTCTTTCTTTCTTTCTTTCTTTCTTTCTTTCTTTCTTTTTCTTTCTCTCTCTTTCTCTTTCTTTCTTTCTTTCTTTCTTTCTTTCTTTCTTCCTTCTTTCTTTCTTTCTAAACTTGTTAACGTATGTGTGTGTGTATGGGTGTGTGTGTGTGTGTGTGTGTGTGTGTGTGTGTGTGTGTGTGTATCTTGGGCTGCGGAAATTAACCTCAACACTCACACATTTTCCACCTCTTAAAGCGCTCTGGCATTAGGGATGGGAGATTCTCTCGCGAACAGAACGGCGCTTCCCTACCTCAGCACCCTTCCCACCACATCAGGAGACTTTAGAAGCTCTCTCGGTTGTAGTCCTGTACACATACATGCAACCCATCATCTTAGTCAGACCTAGACTTTAGATGCCAATATACTGCCAATTGCAATTAAAATTTGAGAAGACCACCCGTTAAGCTGCTGTTGGGTGGGGGCTGGAAGAGGAGAAACGTCTGTAAACCTAATTTGAAATATAACAAATGAATTTATCTCCCACACACATAATGCTGCAGTTGTGAATGGCAGCCCTCCTTCTGCAGCCCCTCCTTTTGCCATCTCCTCCCAGACCATATTCCCCACTATTCCCTCTTCTTTTGCCAACTGACACTGACTCACCCAGAATTTTCTAGAATTTGCAGCATTTTTCTGTCACCCACACCACATCCCAGCAGTAAATAATGCCGCAGAACACGATCTCACCTAGCCCCCTCCAAAGACCAGAATCTCTGATGAGGTCTGCATTTCCCAGATCCTTGCTGCAGCATCACAGCCTAAGCCCACCCTCCTGGAGATGTGTCATACTGGTTGGCAGCTACTAAGCTAATTCAGGGATCATCCTTAATCTCTGGGGATGGGAATGCACATGGCAGGTGAGCCCTATCAAGTCTCCTCCTGCCAATAAATCCACCCTATGGCCCACTCTCTTCATTCTCCTTGGGCTTGTTCTCCTCTCTCCTACCCCATACTCAAGCAGCCAAGCTGCCTTTAACCCAGAGAGTTCAGAACTGCAACATACAGGTGCCAGATCTGACCAGCCGGTAAACCCAGGCTTGGAGATTGTTTCTCGAGACTTTCACACCTTGGTGAAATCCCTGTCCTTTTTTAAGGGCCCTTTTGGGACCAATATCTCGCATTTCAAATGTGCTTTTCACTAAATTCCAGCCTATATGTAGAAGGGCTTGAGGCTGAGCAGTCACAGAGTAAGATGGTCTCTTGGATTAGAGAGCAATGGCATGGGGTTTGGCATAGACAGTGTGTTGTCAAGCAAGACACCACCAAGGGACAACTTGGAGCTGTTGCCTTATGTATGCTCATTGAAACATCTGTCTATAATTCTGTACTCAATGAATCCAAATTTATGACATTAAATTCTTACTGCAAGATCATTTTGATGTTAAATGCTAAAATAGTTGTTTACGCATAGCTCTTGCTTCATTGGGTTGGGTCACTGGACATATACTGCCTGAATTGTATTATGATTAGTTTTGGGGGCTCTAAAAAAATATTTCTCAGCACATCACAAGCTGCCTTATTTACTGCCGTATGTCATAGTGAGGGTGTTTTTTGTTTGTTTTGTTTGCCTCCCCTCAGCCCAGCATTAAATACAATGCTTTACATTGGGGGAGTGGGTGGAGGGATGGTCAGAGTTTTGGGGAGGTACCTTTGCTGTAATTAATATACCCTCCTTTCTGCCATAACCTGATGGTTTCTTAACAGAGAAAGCTCTATTTAGATGCTTGTGTATTTTCCTCACAACTTAACCCAGGGCTGAGGCCATAGTAAAGATTCAGGAAATGTCTGTTAAGTGGATGATTCATTGCAGGTTCCTGGTTAGGGTGTCTTTTTCTGCTTTGCTTTTTAGCAGTATTTAATATTTTGGATGATTAATAATCTCCTATGAGGCTCTTTTCTAATTGAACAATACTGATAAAAAGGCCAAGAGCTACATAAAAATTTCTCCAAGTAGGCATACCTGGAATGATGACCATCTCTACAGAGGCTTGGGTAGACATGGTTCTGAATGTCCCAGGGCAGAAATGGTCCATAACCTGGGATTTTGGGCATGTTATATAAGTTACCTGATTGGGCTGAATGAAGGATTGATCAGTACAGTGGGCTCATATCTTTTGAATATGTAGTGTACTACCTTGCCCCTTCCCCCAGCATTTACCCTGATTCCATCCAAAATAAAGTTTACCCAAGCCAGCATGGCGATTCTTAGATTTCAGCCATGCTTGGAGTTTTGGAGAGGCAAAGGAGAGAAAAATGTCTCAAAATTAAATCTCTTCTCCCTCCATTTTTTTTTCATTTCCTTTTCATGATTTAAAGAGAGAGTGGCACTGGAGTGCTAGAGTGAAAGCCCTTTCCCTCTTGACCAGTAGCTAAAAGTTCCCTAATTCCTCCCTTATAAAGCAATTTGAGAAGAAATCAATGACTCTCCTGAGTCTCACCAGCTGCCAATCTCTCCCATCCCTGCCACCTTGATAATGTGCAAAGCTAAAATAGCAACCTTTATAATAATCTACTAAATAAAATAAAGAGATGGGATGAAGAGCAGCATTTATGGAGAAGGTCAACGATTCAGAAAATTAATTTACATGGGATTAAAACACAAACTTGTTACCCTTCACTCACTCTAGTCTCCTAGGATTTAATTGATAGAGGATTGGAACATTTAAAAGGACGGGTATTTACAATCACAACGAGTAAAATGTGCAATGTTTGGGGGATGGACGTGCTTGAAGCTCTTACTCGAGAGGGGAGGGGGTCATGGGCAATATATATAACCTTAACACTTGTACCCCCATAATACACTAAAATAAAAAAAGTTAATACCTTGCATTCGTATAATGCCTTCTGATTTTTTTTTTATTTCGGCATATTATGGGGGTACAGATTTTAAAGTTTCAATAAATGCCCTTCCCCCCCTCCCCCCACAAGTCTGAGTCTCTAGCATGACCATCCCTCAGATGGTGCGCCTATCACTCGTTATGTATGTATATACCCGCCCCCCTCCCGCCTCCCCAATACTCTATTACTGTAGTACCTATGTGTCC